GAAATTCAGCCATGCCCCATGGCCCTTCCTGTCCCTGTCCCTGTTAGAACATAAATTGACTTCAACCTTATAATCCATGGGATAGGGGTTTCAGACCACAGCAGCTTTCTTTGTTAAATAGTATTACAGGATATGAATCTATTCAATTGCACATTCGGCAGTCTGTCCATCCATCCATCAACTATCTGTCCACCCATCCATCCACTCACATTATTATTTGTCTTTGTATTTATTTTGCAAATCATATATCTGATAAGATATATTCCTTTCTCTTCTTAAAAATAAATGTAATTCTTACATTATAACATGCAGAAAAGTACCCAAATCTAGAGGTTCATCTTGGTGAATTTTCACAAAGTTTATACCCATACAGCCTCCATTATACAAAAAAACAGAACATTACCAGTCTTTGGGGCTCCGCTCACCCCCAAAACCGGACCGTATCTACCTACCCCTCCAAAAGCAACCACTATCCTATTTTCCAAATACAGAGATTAGTTTTGTCTGGTTTTGAACTTTGTATAAATGAAACAATGCGACAAAGCTTTTGTGTCTGGCTTCTTTCTCTCAACATTATTGTTTGTGCGATTCAGCCATTTGTTGAAGGTAGTAGTTCATTTGTTCTCATTGCTCAATAGTAATTGGTTGTTGATATACCATAATTTCTTCATCTGTGCTACTGTTGGTGGTCATTGGAGTTGTTTCTAGCTATTTTGTTCTATTAACTATAACACTGCTATGAATATTCTTACACAGATTTTTTTGGTGAACAGATGTATGCATTTCTGTTGGATATATATCTAGGACTAGAACTGCCAAACCACAGGGTATATATACATTGAGTCTCAGTAGATACTGCTAAACAGTCTTTCAGAGCGCTTGGTAGTAGCTGCAGACTTGCTCTGTGCCTGGAATCTTCTGGATTATAATCTGTCATGCCATATGAGGTTGTTTAAAGTTCATTAAGAATTCATCTGGTTTCCTCTCATCCTGTCTATGGAGGATTCATCCTCCTTCGATTATATTGGTCTCTTTTCTCCTATCACAGGATTATTATTTTCTTAAGTTCACTTAGGTTTTCTTGGATTTTCACCCATGTAAACCTTATGGGTTTACATTTTAAAAATATTTTAAATTTATTTCTGTTCTTTGATGAAATTTCTCATTTTATTTTCTTTTTTTAAAAAAAGATCTTTTTTAAAATTGATTTTTAGAGAGAGAGGAGGGGAGGGGGAGAGAGAAACATCGATGTGAGAATGAAACATCTATCAGTTGCCTTCTGCATGTCCCTACTGGGGATCAAGCTCACAAGCTGGGCATGTGACCTGACTGGAAATCAAACCGGCAAACTTTCGGTGCATGGGATGATGCCCAACCAACAGCCACACCAGCCAGGTCAATATCCTTTATATTCTTGAATATTCTTTGTATTCTTGATTCTTTATACTGAGCCTTATTTTATTATTCTGTTGACCATCTTTGCCTTTTAATTGGATGTCTAATCCATTTAAATATTAATGAAATTACTTTCATGGTTTAAGTCTATCATCTGATATTTGTTTTCTGTTTATTCCATCGGTTCTTTCTTTCTTCTTTTTTTGGTCTTCTTTTGGATTAATCAAGTATTTAAAAAATTATCCTGTTTTATTCCTCTGTTAGTTTTTAATGATATGTCTTTGAATTATTCTTTAAGTGGTTACTCTTTAGATAATAATATTCACTCTCGACCTGATACCACTTCCTATGCAAGAGCCTTACATTCCCTTTCCTGTTGTTTGTGCTAATGCTCCATATGTTTTACTTCCACAGATGTTACGGCTTCCAGCAAGGCGTTGTCCTTAATGTTACTGTAAGCAGTAATATTTACCCTCACATTTCCCACTTCTCCTGATCTTCATTCCTTCCTGAGGTTCTAGGGTTCTGTCTGTAATCACTTTCCTTTAGTCTGAAGAACTTCCTTTATTATTTTTTTATAGAGCTGATCTGCTAGTGATAAATTCTTTAAGCTCTTATTTTTCTGAAAACGTCCTTATTTTGCCTTAAAAGTTTATTATTTTACTGGACATAGAATTCTCAGCTGACAGTTTATTTTCTTTCAGTACTTAAAAAAGACCATTCCATTGTCTTCTGTTTTCTCTTGAAAAGTCAGTTGTAAGTTGACACTTTGAAGGTAATTTTTCTTTTTTCTCCGACTGCTTTTTTTTTTTGGCAGTGTGACTATGATGTGCCAAATTGTGATTTGATTTGCATTTATCCTCCTTGGAGTTCGCTGATCTTTTTCAGTCTGGAGTCTCATTCATTTTGAAAAATCCTCAGACATTATCTCTTCATATTTCTTTTGTCCATTCTCTTTCTCCTCTCATTGTGTGGTTCCAATTATGTGTATATTAGAACATTTGACATTTGACGTGTCGCACATGCTCTGTTCTTTCCATTTTTTCTTCTTTGTCATAAAATATGCATATTTTATTACAGCTCTGGGAAATGAAAAAAGAGGACAGGGAACATATCCTTTCACAAACCATTCTAATTTAGCTGATATTAATTAGAAAAAGCTAAAGCAAGTATATGTGTGTACAAGCATTGAGATATACACATACATATATTTACTTTATATTTTTGTTTATAAACACCCTTAAGTCATCAAATGCATCCTAATACTACTACCTCTGTCTCTTCACCAATCATTTAATTTTGTTTGGATTGTATTTGCTGTTTGTGTTTTAATCACTTATGTGATTGGTCAAACTATACATTAGAAGATGTAAGGGATACATTTGCTTTAAGTTATGCTGTATGTGTCATAAATACCCATGACATGATCCCCCCCCATTATTATTTGAAATTTCACACATCTTGTAGTTCTCTATGTACACTATTTCAGCTTCTAGTGCTGTACATAGCTACATCTTCTGGATGGGACTGCCTGTGATCCATGAGCTTGGGGTCAGGCATAAACTGTGTAGCACCTGAGGTGGACTCTGATTTGGTGTTCGTTTCAGATCTGAGTTCTGTTGACAAAGCCATTGAGTATTTCAGGTCGTGAGCTATTTTCACAGGTATTTCTATTTCAGTATAACTTCCCAGCTTAGTTTTTCCTTTAGAGTCAGGAAGTGACTTTTTCCTTTAGATTCAGGAAGTGACTTTTTTGTTGTTTTTGTGTGTACAATGATTTAACTGCTTCATAAATTTGCTGGCTCATACCATATGCCCTTTTCCAGGTTACCTTTGCAATTATTACAGACTGAACTGGGTAACAAACAGCTGTTACTTAAGTGGCCAGTCCTGGTGGATAAGCTGTTTTCTTAAATCTAGAATCTTTTCTTGATGAAACCAAGCCTACCAATCCTGAAACTGTAATCACTGCAATTTCCAGAAGAAAATCTCATGGTGGAATCTTCAGATAAACATATGCATCTTTTCCAAATTGAACTGTCTCCATTATCCATATTTCACAAAGACATAAACATCCTTGCACCGGCCAATATAACAACCAGTTGTACTGCGGATGGAGGCAAAGCCCATTTGTAAATTTCCAGGCTGCTCTTCAGCATATTTAGACGGGAGAGGCGGTGAAGTATATATGGGGAGCTTCTCTGGTCTCATTAGCGGCTCTTTGAATTTCTTTTGTTTGGCTTCGTGCACACTTATAAATGCACATATCAGACCTGCAGGCGTGCTTATCAGCTTTCCCATTAGTTTTAACTCTATACCCATCCATCCAAGGCACATACTCTGACCCTATGGCCACCATGTCTGTGGCTCTCCACCAAAACTTTCATCCTCAGTTTTTCTTCAATCTCTCCACTCCAGTTTGGATCTTTTCTATGGACCTGCCTTCCAGTTTATTAATTCTGTCTCCTATATGCAGTCTGCTATTAAATCTATCTGATTAATTCTTGTATTTTTATATTTTTTAGTTCTAGAATACCAATTTGGTCCTTTTCTATAGATTCCAATTCACTGTTGAAATTCTCTCCCCTTTCTTCCTCCATTTTTGTTATATCTTCCTTTATTCTTTTTAACATTATTTATAATAGTTATTTTAAAGTGATTATCTGCTAACTCCAGTGTCTAAATTATCTGTGGGTCTGATTCTAATGCCTATTTCTTCTTTTGATTATTGGTTACATTTTCCTATCTTTTCACATGTCATAGGCATTAAAAAACCCCAAAACAGAAATACTTCAAAATAAAACTTTTCTGAACTTTGTATAAAGGACCGTAGAGAGTAAAGTTGATAATGATTTTCCTCCATTACATTTGCTCTTTTCTGTGTATAGGGCTGCTCATCTCAGTGCAATCAGGAACTGAGCTGGGTTGGGACTGAACTGCATCTTTAGGTAGACTGACCTTACCTCTGTCTTCAGTTGTCTCTGGGGTGAAGTCTGTTGTGTTTGTTATAGGTTTCTTCCTCCAGTGGGACACTGTCTCCCAATGATCTCACTCTGACTTTCTAGCCTAACCCTAGACCCTCAACTCCCCCAGTACTAAGTAAATGTCTGGTGGGAAAAAGAACTATGCATTTGGAACTCCCCTGAACTTAATCCATCATGCCAGCCAGAATGGTGTCAGAGGCTCTGTTGGTTTCTCTTCCTTCCTGTAGCTTCCTTCTGCTAAGCTGATCCTGATTCTCACCCTATCCTGTGTCCAGATTCAGAAAATGTTCCCAGAAAAGAAAGCAGCTCCTGATTTCAGTTCTTCTTGGAAAGACATTTTCCTTTCTGTAAATTTAGTTCATCTATTTTCTTTGCTTCTACAGCTCTCCAATAGTTTTATAGAAATATGGTTTTGTAACATACCTGTTTTGTTTTTCTTAATTAAAAATAATTCTGCAGCCCTGACCGGTTTGGCTCAGCGGATGGAGCGTCGTCCTGCGGACTCAGGGGTACCGGGTTCGATTCTGGTCAGGGGCATGTACCTTGGTTGCGAGCACATCCCCAGTGCGGGGTGTGCAGGAGGCAGCTGATGGATGTTTCTCTCCCATTGATGTTTCTAGCTCTCTATCCCTCTCCCTTCCTCTCTGCAAAAAATCAATAAAATATATTTTAAAAAAATAAAAACAATTCTGCAGTAGGGTAATGGCTTACGACTATACCCTGCCCCTGCCCAGAAGTAGTAGGACTCATGTTTCTCTGTGCTCACTACCTGCTTTCTACTCCAGGCCTGTTCCTCCCCAGCCCCATGTCTGGTACACCTGATCATTTTGTATCATTGCCATTTCATACATGAGCTATTTCAAACCCAAATGAGGCTCACTCAGTCCTTGCCGTAGTACTCTCTCCTACACGTGGGGCAGGATGCCATAGGCCCGAGCTCCAAGTATACACTAGGGCTAGTGTCTGATTCCTTCAGATATTTGTTGAGTAGCCAGCATCATGCCTGACATATGGTGGGCATCATGAAGTGTGGGACAGGCGTAAGAGATTGCTGACTGACTCGAGGGTGGAGGGTGAGGGGCAGAGGTTTGGAGTGGGGGGGCTAGGCCAGTCATTGTTACTGAGTTGGGTCTGATTAAATCACAGGGACATTTGGCCTGAAAGTTTGGAGCCGGCTGAAGGATATCCAGAATCTTGATGACAATGAACTACATAAAAACTTAAAGAAAAAAAGGGAATCCATACATGCCTCCAAGAAGACCTATTCAGGGCTGCCGTGAGTTACCTGGTATCCTCTGGCCCAAGGAGGGGGTGCTGGGAGCCTCTCCAGGTCCCAGGCGACCTCGCCTGGATTGGGTGGTGCTGGGCACATTCAGGGAAAGCCCTGGAAGGCCCAAGGCCTGGCACCTGCTGGAAACTTGACTCCAGAGGTGGCAGCTGCGGCCTAAGAGCCCAAGGCTCTGTTCTTTCAGCTCAGCTCAGCTGAACGATTGAGCATTTGACTTTGCCACATAAAAACCCATGTCCTTAGATGGGACCCTGCCCCAGAGCCAGATTCAGATTTGCGGGTGCTGGCTTCCCTGCAGGCGCCATTTCTGTGTGGCCACAGGGCCCTGGCAGGAGGGTGCCCAGGGCTCTGGTCCTGAACAGACACTGGACTCTTTTTCTGAGTCATGGGAAAAGCAGGAGGCTTGCTACTTGTTCTTTCCTCTACAGGTTCCTCCTCCTCCTCCACCCATGCTCTGCCCTTATCCCTGACCAAATCTTGGATAATTTTGGGTTATTCAAAAATTACTTATGAAGGCCCTGCTGGTTGCCAGGCCCTGTACTAGGTTCTAGAGATCCCAAACAATCCAGGCATGAGTCCTGCTTCTGATAACTCACAGTGCACTGGGGAGTTTGACATACAAACTCATGGCTGCTATTCTATGTGATAAGTGATGGATATTAAGAACAGGGATGGGGCCTGTCTGGCGTGGCTCAGTGGTTGAGCATTAACCTATGAACCAGGAGGTCATGGTTTAATTCCCAGTCAGGCCAAATGCCTGAGTTGCAGGCTTGATCCCCATTGTGGGGTGTGCAGGAGGCAGCTGATCATTGATTCTCATCATTGATATTTCTCTCTCTCCCTCTCCCTTCCTCTCTGAAATCAATAAAAACATATTAACAAACAAACAAACAGGGATGGCTGAGGACAGTCTTCTGATTGGGTGGATTAACTAAGGAAGGCTTCATAGGAGAAGAGATTTTGGAGTTGGGTTTTGACACGTAAGCAGGAGTTTTCCAGGCACCCATAGAGTCCTTGTGGCTCCCATGTTTCTGTCAAGGCATGCATCTTTATAGTCCTATGGGAGGATATCAAACAAGGCAGAGGCAAGGTTTCCCTGGAAGAGGATATTTAAGTATTCCAAAGGGAAAGTATAGGTAAGGTCAGGATGGGGTGTCAGACCTCCGCGGGGGAGAGCACAGGGTCATGGGAAGAATCACAGGACTTGTTGGGAACCAGTTTAATCTGGGCTTTGCTAACGTCAGTGATGTGCCCTGGGCATACTGCCTCATGGGAGGAATAAGAAGGTTGGAGAGGATCAGATCCAGGAGGGAGAAACCCCCTTGGGGCTCCTGGGAGGGCTTCCCTGACTTGTGGTGTGGACGGCATCTTCTGAAGGAAGGCCCCTCACATTAGGGAGGAGCAGGATTTTGCTGAGGCCCTGGTGTACCAGCGGCGGGAGGAGGTGGCTCTCCTGGCTCTCCTAAATGGAAAGGCAGACACAGAGGCGGAAGCTTGGGCCAAGCTGCAGAAGATAACCCTGACGTCCCCATGGGCTGGAGAGCGCTCCCTGAAAGATATTGAGAACACCTGGCACAAGTGGGAGTCCAAGGACAAGCAGGTCAGGCTTGATAGGGGACACGGGGGTGTGATGGGCCCACAGCTCTCAGTCCCGAGCCTCACTCTTGCCCATGACTCTTGCAGGTGAGCAAAATTCTGGGAGCGGCGTACAAGCCCAAGGAGCGGTTGCGGAGTCCCGGGCTCCTGTCCACCAGTGTGCAGTACGGCCTGATGAAGCACCAGGTGCGGCCGGCTGGGGCTGCTCCCTGAGATGCTGGGGCTGGTGGCTCCGGCAGTGCCCACAGGGGCCTCCAGGGGGTGAGGGGAACATCGGTCCTTCAATGGAATTCTGAGCAGGACAATTTCAGCATGAAATGGTTTGCCAAGGCTCTGGTTGAAACCATGGACACAGGTTTTGTCCTTGAGGACAAGCCTCATTGGGTCTCTGGGAGGATGTCCTCCATTGGGCCTGGCACCTGTCCACAGCCTTCAAAGCATTTCCCAGAGTCTGGCTATTAGTTTGTTAGTGTGTTTACTGTGCCTGTCTCCATACTGTGGGCCCCTCCTGAGCAGACACAGGTGTGATGGTGACAGGAGCACGGTCAGTGAGAGGCAGAGGGAATGGAAGGGGGCTCTCCTGGGGAGAGAAAGGAGTGGAGACTTGGGAGAGACCCACTTTGAGCCCCATCCTGTCTCTTACGTGGGCAGATCCCATCCTCTCTCAGCCTCTCCCTGCTTCTCTGCCAGAGGGGCATTGCGGGAGCTCCCAGCCTCTGTGGCGGGGACTCAGAATAAGTGAGGTAACTCTGTCCCGGGCTGGCGGAAGGTAACGTGAAAAGGGACCGCTTGGTCTCCCTCCCCTCCACTGGAGACGGGACTCAAAGTGCACCTTGGCAAGTGCTAATGTCAGGTGTGGGAGCACGTCTGGGAGCTCCTTGTACCTGAGCCCCACTTAGGGTCCAGCCTAGGCCTCATTCTAAGATGGGGACAGTCCAGTGCCAACCTCCCAGGGTGGTTGCCAGCACTAAGAGGAGGGCTGACGAGCCGCAGGCACAGTGGGCTTGTGGGCCCAGCAGGCTGTGGCCATCAGTGGCAACCAGAGTACCCTGGAGACTTCTTTGGCCTGGGAAGACCCCAGGGCCCATCCTTCTTGCGAGCCTGCTCTGGGTCCTGGTGCCCCCTGCCTGTTCCCACACGCCCCTGCTCTGTTCCCCACAGATCTCACCTCAGATCTACCAAAACCTGTACTTCAATGAACTGGCACCCACCCACCAGCCTGACTTCATGATGCCTAAGGTCATAGACCAGCATGGCCGGCTGATCCGCCTGGTGACCCACAATGTCTCGAAGGACCTGCATCCTAGCAAGGAGACGGCCAGCATGCACACTAACATCTCCTCCTTCTCTTCCTTGTTCTCATCAGTCTCAGGCTCTGGGTTCCTGACCAGCAGGTTCACCCCTCCGGGGCTCCAGTCCTCCTCTGCCTCGCAGCGGCCCTAGTCAGCCTCCATGGCCCAGTCGGCTCACTCAGTCCTGTCCCAGGCATCCAGGCACACCCTGCAGAGAGTGGCAATGCCCACGCTGGTCGCCTCCTCCCTGAAGCAGGTCTCCCAGCCTCTGAAGGACGCCCCTCTGTGCTCTGTGAAGAAGGGCTTTCACGTCAGGTGCTGAGTAGCTCAGCCTTGTCTGCTGTCCTCTGGCAGGACAACCAGGTCCTGTCTGTCCCTGGCATACCCCTGCCAGGCCCAGAGGATAAGCAACTTCCCCTGGCTGTCTGCGCTCAGCCTGTGTGGTGACGTTGACTTTCTTCACCAGAGGCCTAGAAAAGAAAATAAATGTTCACAGATGTTGGAGTCCATGAGTTTGGGCTGTGTCCCTCGCCCCCTTGGGCACCGGGCTCGCTCTCTGATCGGGTCATGTTTCCCCTGGCGGGGTGCAGGGAGGAGAGTCCCTCCCACAGGGCCTGGGCTGCAGCTGTCTGGCCCGAGATAGGTGAGGTATTGGTTGGGTAATGACGCTGGGGTGAGCTGTGGAACTTGGTTCAACCCCTCACAAGAGTGAGACCAGCAGCCATCTGTCTGTCTCCTGCCTGTGCTGTGTGTCTGTCCTCCATCACTGTCAGCGCAGGCTCTGTCTCCTGCCTGTGTGTCTGTCCTCCATCACTGTCAGCGCAGGGACTCCTGTATTTATACCCTGTCTGGCTCTTGTGCAAGGGAGATCTGGAAGTGTGGCGAATGGCACTTTGGCCTGGCTCTGCCACGGTCTGGCTTTGGAGTTCCTCATTCTGAGCTCATTGTCCCCCTCTGGCCCAGGCCTCTGTCAAGGCCTCTGCTGGGCGACCAGCGCTCTCGGCAGCTCCACATCCTGTTCTGGGGAACGTGCGGACTCTGGACACAAGCACTGCGACCTCTGGAGAGCCAGAGCGGCCACCGCTGCTGTGCCATGGTACCCACAGCGCCCTGCTCGGCGGGGGCTTGCCAGAGGGGCAGGAGGAGGACTGCAGGCTTGGGTTCCTGGAGGTCTCTGTTTTCTTCTTAAAAATTTTTTTATTGATTAAGTTATTACATATGTGTCCTTATCCCCATGTTACCTCCAATCCACCTCCCTGCCCACTCATTCCTTCACCCCCCTGTTGTCTGTGTC